CAAAGTGAAAAGTTAAGGGACCAAAATGGTACTTAAACCTTATTCTTTTTATTGATTTGAGCATGCCTTCTTGGAGTTTATTTAATTACCCTGATGATTTGGAAATGATTTGTCAATTATGATTGTCATGTTAACTTCTACCTATTTTGTCTCCGATATGATCATGTTATTCTTGTGCCCGCTAGTGGGAGGTTTATAAACGCTAGCACATGTCGACATGTTACTGATAGAATCGGTTCGTTTCTGTTATCCTACTAGTGGGATTATACACTAGTAAATCATGTGCCCGCCAATGGGAGGTTTATAAACGCTGGCCATGACCTATAGAGGAGACGTCTATTTCGTTCCCGTACTGTATCTGTTTTTCGTGATTATACTTGTTGGCATACTATAAGTTTAATTAAAGGCTCTCCATATTTACTTACTAAATTATCTCATAGTTTTTCCTTATCCACCATTTGAGGAAGTGAAGTCAAGGACCGGGAAAAACGAGGGGAGTGACGAATTAGAAGGCTAGTCATCTTGTAAATTGAACATAGATTTTAGATATAAATCATGATCTTGTAAGATAGACTTTATTTGGAAATTTTATGATATCAAAGCAAATTTTAAATTTTTATCTTCAGATTTTGTGGTATTAGAGTATGGTATGATAAGTTTCGAGTCTTGTGCATTTGTAAGACCCTCTCACAAGTGTACAGCGTCTGTCATGTCCTCGGATTTGGGTTATGGGGCGTGACATTAATAGTATATTTGGGTTAAGGAAAATGAAAAGAAAGGGAAAAAAAATTTTAACCAATCAAATTATAATATGGGAATAATGTCTATCCACTTACTTTCTAAAGATTATAAGAAAAATTATTCTAAAACTACGTTGTTTTAATAAATCTTCATTGAAAAGGACTCAAATACTCTATTTTTAAAACATGAATTAAAGTATTTTTTGTCATTTCTTATAGTATTTTATTAAAATTACTTAGTTTTAAAATAATTTTCTTCTACATCCTTAGGAAATTAAACGGATAACCACTAATCCATTATATTGGAGATTTAATGCCAGGAATTTAATTGAGGTACAAATAAAAAAAGTATTTCTATTTTTAAAAAGGAGTGGGCGGTAGACTTCGTATTCCCTTCTTAAAATAATAAAATCCATTCGATTCTAACTCTAACTCCGCCAGTTGCCTTCCTCTTCTTTTTGTACAATAGTGAAATCTTAAAAGTAAGTACGTTCAACTCATAATTTTTTATTTTTTTTTGTGCATTTTCATACATTGTAGCACTAAAAGACAATCTTAGAATCTCCATAGTCCATATCCTTCTTGTTGCCGAGACCTTCTCTCGAATCTTGCATTCTTAATTTCAAATTCGAGTGAGTTTTTCAGATTTTGACTAAAAAAAGTTTAAATTAAGGGGCGAGTGGTGGCTCGGCCACGCTTGGGGTACTGGTCCAGCACAACTTTCATGAGCGAGAAACACATCTACGGTGCTGGGTGCACCACCGTACTGGGTCCCAGCATTCGGCACTGCCACACCAGCGCACAAAGTGCGCTGGTGTGGTGATGATGTGAGGCCAGTTAGCACCCGTTTGGGTACTGGCTTGAAGCAAAAAAAAAAAAAAAAAAAAGAGTAAAAAGAGAAAGAAGATAAATAATAATAATAATAATAATAATAAGATTAATAATTAAAAAAAAAAAGATCATTGT